ATTCCAGCGACGTACCACCATTAAACGCCATACCCAGTTAATATTCAAGACGCAGAACACTTTAACAGAGGAGCGGCTCATCCCAATGGCAGCATGTTCCCTCAGAACAAAAAAAACCCAAACTTATATATATATATATATATATATATATATATATATAGAGAGAGAGAGAGAGAGAGATTGGATTAGGTGATCGAGATCACCCTATCCATATGAAGTTGTGAGATTGAATCCTATCCATTCAATGTTTTGAGTCAAGGATGCATATTTATTTTGCCTAAATTAGGACAAAATTAATGTATATGGGTGACATAGTAATTTGGTTTCTTGTTTTGATTTATAATTTTAATTTACCAAATTTAATAATTTAACAATGTAATAATTGTAAGATTTTCCCTAATAATATTATATATATATATATATATATATATATATATATATATATATATATATATATATTAGAGCTTTAATTAAGTGGTGCAAGTGGACTAGACTTATTAAGTGGTCTGGCTGGACTGAATAACTAGAAGTTGTTAGTCCACCAAACTCTGTGCGTAATATAATTCTGGATTGATGGGATACAGGATGATTGAGGTTAGCACATACTCATACTGCTCATTAGACACCACTACACTATATAGGGTTCTGAGTTAAGTATGAGGCAATTAATGGCTAACGGTCTACCGTTCAACTGTGACTGGAAATCAACATGGCTACGTTTTCGCTCTTATACGAGGTCAGGTTTCTCCTATACTATTGTTCAGTATTAGTTAGATTATTTACATCTAACAATAATTTCTGAATACTAATTCAAGAACTCTATAAATACCTAATTTCGGGGAGTTTTGAATCATGCTAATCCCTTTCGGCTTTCTACACGGTGTCCTTTTACGTTTTACTGAGTAATAGTTCGAACTGTTCATTATGACTCACACATTGTTAGCAATATTTTTTGCTTTTTAAATCTGTTAGAGCGATATTTATGAGTCCAAAAGGTTTATTTATTTGTTTATTTGGCTAGTATAGTAGATCAACGAGGAGGAACACGATTATTATTTTACAAAATAATAGTAGTTATTCATTCATAATAGAATAAAGATATTTATTATGAACATTAATATTACATTACGATATTTTTAGATGTTCTGTATGTTATAAATTTTCTAATTAAGGTTGGATGTAGTTGTATTTGATTAACAACATCAACAAATTGCAACTATATCTTTGAGGTATACTATCAAAATTATTACAAAAGTACATAACTAATAGTATACATATTGCAAATAAATTTTACACAAAATAATTATTTACATATTATAAATATTTTTGTGTCTAAGCACGTATCTTTTGTTAACAGGAGATATATCAATGAAATATTGTAATTAATATTTGTTTATCTATGAGATTTCATGCATATAGTTTTCTATTTTAATAAATTTTACATTTTACATTTTATTTTAAAATCTATTCTATTATATTTCTAACTTTTGACCGTCTTTTTTTTGCGAGTTATGATTATATATATATATATATATATATATATATATATATATATATATATATATATATATATATATATATATTTATTTATTTATATTTGTAAACTTTATCATTTGTATATAACTATAATATATACCTATTGAACTATTGTCGCATGTCAACTTTTTACATCATCTAACTTTTACAAATAATTTTGGCATTATTACTACTACATAGAAATTTATCCCTACATAAATGATTTTGATATTCGAAGTTAAAAAAAGGTGAAAGGTAAAATATATAATTATTATGATCTTAATATATTTTGTAGAATTGTGATTATTATTATAATTATAAACATTGATAGATACCATGACTAATCATTAAAGAAAAATTCATTTTTAAATTCGCCTAAACTCGTACTTTTAATTAAAAAGTTTATAAAAACTTAGAAATATGTCTTAACTATGTACATATAATTATTAACTAAATTAATCCACAATAAATTTAAAAATTAAATTCTATTAATTTCTAAATGCAATTATTTAAGATAATATGAAATACAATTAAGTAAATAACTAAATATAATTATAAAATTAAATAAATGTGCATTCATAAATACTTAGAAATCGGCTTAAATACATAAATATACTTATACACCATATTAATCATATAAAATTAAAATACTAATTTTTAAATTTTGAAATATAATTATCTTAATTATAAATATGAAAATATAAATTATAATAATTATCTTAATTATAAATATGAAAATATGAAGGAATTAGTGAACTAGGCTAGGGTTTGATGGTGTGTTCATGGAGCATTAACAGAGAAGGAAGAAGGAGCATTGTTCTCATTATTGTGATGATGGAGAAGCAGAAGTCAGTACAAGCTATAAAGGGAAAAAGCAATGAAACAGTAATTTGGAAGAAGCAGTTATAACAGCCAACGACCAGATGGAAGAAAAGGCTATAAAATACAAAAATGCCCTTGGCATTATTTTCTATCCTTCATCACCCCCCCCCCCCCCGGTAAGCTGGAGCATGAATATCTTGAATGCCCAGCTTAAGTTGAAATGTGTTGAAAGCAGTAGTTGGCAAAGATTTGGTAAAGCCATCAGCAACCTGTTTTTGAGAAGGAATAGGCAACAACTTGATCAATCCTTCATAAACTTTTTGCTTGACAATGTGAGAATCTATCTCTATATGTTTTGTCGTCTCATGGAAGAGATGATTTTCTCCAATAGCAATAGCTGAAAGGTTGTCACAGAATATAGCTGTTGGAACACTAAGGTTCACCTGCAAATCATTTAGCAAATAATGAAGCCACTGAACCTCACAAACAGTAGATTCCAATGCCCTATATTCAGCCTCTGATGAGGACTTTGAGACTGTGGCTTGCTTCTTGGTTTTCCATGAAATCAAATTGTTACCAAGGAAAATGCTATAGCCAGTTACTGACTTCCTAGAATCTGGACAATTGGCCCAATCAGAATCTGAAAAGCCTTGCAATTTGAGCTGAGAGCCTGTGTGGTAGAATAGGCCTTTTCCTGGTGATGCCTTGAGGTACCTTAGTACCCTATGAGTAGCAGTGAGGTGAGTGGCTGATGGATTGTCAACATACTGACTTAGTTGTTGGACAGCATGTGATATATCTGGCCTGGTGTGAGTTAGATATAGAAGCTTTCCAACTAGTCTCCTATAAATCTCTGGATTGTCAAGAGGAGTGCCCTCTGTACTGGATAACTTCAGCCCTGGAGTGGCTGGGCTTTTTGCAGGCTTGGAGTTCAAAAAACCATTTTCTTTCAGAATATCTAGAGTATACTTCATCTGGAACAAATGGGCTCCATCAGCATTTCTGAAAGCCTCAATTCCCAAAAAATAGCTGAGAGAACCAAGGTCCTCTTGAAGGCACTGTCTAGAAACTGTTTTAGAGCATTAATCTGTGTTGAATCAGTTCCAGTTACTAGAATGTCATCCACATAGATGAGTAGAGCAGTAAATGAACTTCCTGAGCTTCTTGTGAATAAGGATGGATCAGCTGCTGATTGCTGATAGCCATTGTCCAGAAGTGCCTTTGTCAATTTTGAGTTCCACTGCCTGCTAGCATGCTTCAGTCCATACAAGGATCTCAACAACTTGCATACCTGCTTTGGTTTATCACTGTGGAATCCAGGAGGTAACACCATGTATACTTCCTCCTTTAAATCACCATGTAAAAAAGCATTGTTTATGTCCAATTGTTGAATTTCCCAACCTTTTGCAATTGCCACAGCTAGAAAGGTCCTTATTGTTGTCATCCTTGCAACAGGAGAAAAAGTCTCAGTATAGTCTAATCCCATCTGTTGTGTGTACCCCTTGGCCACAAGCCTAGCTTTGTATCTTTCTATAGAACCATCAGCCTTGTGCTTTACTTTAAACACCCACTTACATCCAATTGGTGTTTTTCCTTCAGGAAGTTCTGTCAGTTTCCAGGTGTTGTTGGCAACCAAAGCTTCTATTTCACTCAACATTGCCTTCCCCCATGACTCAGACTTGGCAGCCTCATTATAAGACTGTGGTTCATGTGTATTCAGAATGGATGATGCACATAACTTATGACTTAGGGGTAGAGAATCATAAGATATGACATTATGTAGAGAATGTGGGGAAGTCTTATGGTTTGTATCACTTTGGATTATAGACTGGCAGTAGTAATCTTGTAGCTTTGCAGGAATATTTCTTACCCTACCAGACCTTCTGAGTTCATGCTGGATGGGATGGACTGCTATAGGCTCTTCATTATCAATGGGCATCAAATCAATAGTTATCGAAGGTTGGACTGTAGGTATGTTGCTTGTACTCATGGAATCTGCTTCACTTCTAAGCTCAGGGCTTGGTTCATCATTGTTATAGATGACAGGTTGTTCACTCTCCATAGATTGTGGAATATGATTATGATTGTGGCCTGCCCTGTGTACCTCTGGAGCCACATCTGCATCGACAGGAACCACAGGTAAGGAAGGATGAAGCTCCTTTCTATGAAGGTTCTCTGAGTTGTTTTGCTTAAGAGGACATATTTCCTCATTGAAAATGACATCCCTGGACACAAAAGTGCACTTGTTAGCCATAATATCATACAACACATCGCCTTTCACATGTGCATGAAACCCCAAGAAGATACATTTATTTGACGTTGGCATCATCTTATGTCTTCCTTGAGAGATGGTGGCAGCAAAACATAAGCAGCCAAACATCCTTAAGTGATTATAATCCACAACTTTGTTGTACAAAAGCTCATATGGTGACTTCCCATTGTTTACTTGTGTAGGAAGCCTGTTGATGAGGTATGAAGCATGTAAAACACAATGGCTCCAAAGTTCTAGAGGAACTCCAGACTGAAATCTGAGTGCCCTTGCAACATTTAATATGTGCTGATGTTTTCTTTCTGCAATGCCATTTTGCTGAGGTGTGTAGACACAAGACTTTTGGTTCACAATTCCTTTTCCATTAAAGAAGGAGGTCATGAAGAATTCAGTCTCATCTTACTGCCTTGATTTTTGCTGAAAACTGAGTATCAACATACTGATAAAAGTTTTGAAACAGCCCCTTAACCTCAGACTTATTTTTCATCAAATGTATCCAAGTAAACCTACTATAATCATCAACTATAGTGAGAAAATAGTGTTCTCTTTTAAGAGAAGAAACAGCAAAGGGTTCCCAAACATCCAAATGCATTAGATCAAAACTTTTCTCAGTTCTTGTAGTACTAACGGGGAAAACTGGCCTTTTCTATTTAGCAAAATGGCATGTGTCACATACAAAATCAACAGGTTTATGAAAATGAACTTGTCTTATTCCACATAGATTGTGAACCTTATCTGCAGGGTAGTGCCCCAATCTATTATGCCACAACTGTAAAGATAAGCTATTACAGTGTTTGTGAGCATCAACACTATCAACACATTGTCTTATTTTGGCAGGAGGATGATTAAGTAGGTAGAGCCCATATTTTGCCTTAGCAAAACCATCCATTATCCCATGTAGCCCCAGAATATCACATAGATCAGCATTCATGACAAGGGTACAATCATTTTGTTTTGTCAGCTTGCTAGCAGAAACTATGTTAAAAGCAAAAGATGGTATGCAAAGAACATTTTTCAACAACAGATTAGGAGACAACCTGATTTCGCCTATATGTCACCTGCACAGATTCTCCATTAGGCAATTTAACAAAGATGCCATGAATTTTATGATAGTTTTCAATGTAATCCAAAGAACAAGTGATGTGATCAGTTGCTCCTGAGTCCAAAATCCACATATTTGAACAACTCAAAACAGCATTTATATGAAAGTTAGGAGTGGACCTGCCTTCTGTTGCATCACCTGTTGGAATGAACTTTGGCCTCATGCCAATCTTACTCATTGTGATGGCAGCATTGGTGGAAGCTTGACCACCTTGGCTTCCTTGATTCTGACCTTGCAGAACAGAGACTAACTTCTGAAATTGATCAGCTGATAGCCCCACATCAGCAACCTGATTGACAGAGGGATTGATGCTATGTTGGCTGTCTTAGTTTTGCTTGTACTTAGACTTATAACCAGGTATCCATCCAGGGGGGTACCCATGTTTTTTGAAACATTTGTCTATAGTGTGGCCATTCATTCCACAATATGTACATTTTGATACATTTTTCCCTTCATAACCATTAAATTTCTTCTTATTGTTAGAGCTAGTTACTGCTACAATATTCTGATCATCTCCACCTTGGTTTTGAACAGCATTGGACTGCACAACTTTAGAATTCTTATAGCTACTGGCACTATTAAGTTTCCTTTCCAATTTCAGAGCCACGTTAAGCACTTTTTCCATGTTAGGAAGGGGATCCATGACAAGTGCACCAGATTTTATGGTTTCATATTCATCACTTAAACCTTCTAGAAACCTAATCACTTGATCATCCTCCCTATCCTTTTTAACTTTACTCATAAGAGTGCAATTACATCTAGGTGTGCATTCGCAGATAGGCAGGGGTCTCACAGCCTTCAATTGCTCCCAAAGAGCATTACATTTTGTAAAATACTCATTAATAGATAGATTACCTTGCACACTTCTATAGATTTATTCTGGATTTCGGTAATTTTGTGTAGTTCTGCCTGGGAGTACCTCTTCTTCAAGGTATTCCAGATGTCCTCTGCTATCTCAAAGTACAGAACACTTTCAGCAATGGAAGGATTGAGTGATCGCAGAGTCCAGGCACTGACGATATCGTTGCACCTCTTCCAAGTACCATATCTCACATCTGATTGAGTCGGACAAGGAATGGCACCAGTGACGGAACCAAACTTATTCTTCACGCCGAGAGCTATTTTTATGGATCTGCTCCAAGTTGCGTAGTTGCTTTCAGAGAGGGGAGGTGAGACGAGTATGGTGTTTGGATTCTCAGTAGCGTGGAGATACAAAGGATCATCTAGCTCATCTACTCTGTGCGCTGGACTCTGATTAGCTTGGATCTGACTGGCCGGAGTTGCTAGACCTGCTGTGCTCCCAGTAGGGTTTCCTCCGACCACATTGTGATCCATAGCTACAGCGTCTGCGTAGCTGTAAGGACGCTCTGATACCATGAAGGAATCAGTGAACTAGGCTAGGGTTTGATGGTGTGTTCATGGAGCATTAACAGAGAAGGAAGAAGGAGCATTGTTCTCATTATTGTGATGATGGAGAAGCAGAAGTCAGTACAAGCTATAAAGGGAAAAAGCAATGAAACAGTAATTTGGAAGAAGCAGTTATAACGGCCAATGGCCAGATGGAGAAAAGGCTGGAAAATACAAAAATGCCCTTGGCATTATTTTCTATCCTTCATCAAAATATAAATTATAATATAATTTTTTTCAAAATACACATTAATAAATATTGTGTGCTCATACAAAACATTATAGAATCATATTATAAGGTAATCACCCCTTGAAACTTTCGATGATGCAGGGCTTTACCTATGCACTTGGGATAAGCTAGCTCGATTGAAGAAGCAGAGGCATGGGCATTAAGGACAGGAATCCAAATTGCAAGGACTCTAGACCTCAAACAGGTCATCTTTGAGTCTGATTCAAAAGAGTTGGTCTCGATGCCATCACGAAAGGAAGTAAGGTCAACAGTGAATGGAAAAACCTCATGCGTGAATGTAAGTCTGAGTTGGAATTCCTGGAAGATCTGAGGTTGAACCACATTACCAGAGAACAGAACAAAATGTTGTTGCTGATAAGATCTTACACGAGTTTTGACACCCTACCCCCAGGAAAGAAGTTATCTTTGCATTGGAGGCTGACATAACTTGAAAACCTATTTGGCGTCCCCCTTCCTCTATATTAATCACACAAAAAAATTTAGTTTTATATGTTATGAATGTATATACATTGCCAAATATATGAAAATATAACTATATTTTTATATTGTATATTTTAAAGATGGAGGCAGAAATTCGGTTGAGGGGGGCGAAGGAGTAGGACGGATTCAGAAAATTTTTCCAGTAGAGGCGAAACATTAAAACAAAAGAGATAATTTAAAAAAAAAATTACATAAGAAATATAGTTGCAAATATTGTTGGATATGGACGAAAAATAAAACACATTGAAATTTTATAAAAATATTCATAACAAAATATGAAACATAATTAATATGATAAAATAATTTGAATAGAAAACACATTATAAATTACACATCTCATTATTCATATAAAAATATAAAAGAATGTTCTATATATATATATATATATATATATATATATATATATATATATATACACATGCAAAAATTATATATGGGGTGGGGGGTGGGGGTGGGGGTGGGGTGAGGGGGGCAGCTGCCCCCTGCCCCCCTTTGGTTCCGTCCTTGTATATTTTAATATCATTTTATTTTAAAAAATTATTATTTAAATTCATGATAATATAATTTATTCCGAAAACAATAGTTATGTAATATAGAATTAAAATTGAGTCATTAAACATTACATTTATTTCTATTTAGATTGGAGTGCTGCCCGCTAAAAAGACAACATAACGATTATCAATACAAGAGTACGTAATTATTAGGATCATTCAGCAGAGGACAATGTGGTGTACTGAAAGGGGAATCTATGAAGTCCGTAGAGGTATTGTTTGAAGAAAATAAGGAACTTCATACATGGGATGGAACTAATCCAACATAATTTCAAACTGCGAAGCTGAAAACTTTAACTAAATAATTTTTGTCACAAGTTCAGAATATGATTTGTTCTTTCCTTGAAGCTCAAGGGAATACCACTAACTCTTTCAAAATATTACAGACCTCTGATGCCTCTACTTTCTTGTCCACAAAACTACCCTTTCTAAGGTCGGGCATGGATCATGAAGGCTAAATACTCAGTCACCACTAACGACCCAACGACATGGAAACCGAGAGCGAGAATGTGGTTAGCTTGGAAAGGGATCGTCAAGAACACATCGATCCTGGCTAAAGGCACACGGAAGAGGGCCAGGAATGGTGGGTCCACCTTATTTTGGCTGGACTGGTGGCAACTGATTCTCAGTCAAAGAAGCATATGAAATAGCAACTGATTGGAATGAAGCGCATGTGCCTAGTATTTGGAATAATATTTGGAAACTAAAGGTCCCTGACTGAATTTGCTCCTTTCTATGGTTAGTGAGGCAGGATAGAATAATATCAAATCTTAACAGAGTGAAAAGTGGATTCACCAACGACAAATGCTGGGTTTGCGAAGATAGCATTGAGGATAATGAACACATTCTACAGATACCCAAAGGCAGCAAAGGTATGGACGACAACATCTCACAACAGTCAACATGGAAACCATTGCCTGCCATTTAACCAGTGGTTCGACAGGGCTGGAACAGAGGAAGCCGGCAGCCAGACCAAAGCGTCATGTTTGCAGTCACACTAGTGGATCTGGAAATGGAGAAATGAGGTTGTTTTCGAGATGTTGGTGCCACCGTTGGATTAACAAGCAAATCACGAAAATCATAAGGCCTTTGTTTGGCAGAACTTATAGCTTATTTTAAATTACTAATAAGCTATAAGTTCTGTTTGGTAATGTTTTCAAAATAAGTTTTTTTTTTTTTTTTTTTTTTTTTTTTTTTTTTTAATTTAAGGAGTTCACAAAATAAGCTAGTATATTAAAATAAGAGCTTATTTTAAAAAGCTACTTTAGGTAGCGTTTAAAAAATAAGCATATGAAATATTACATAAGCTTAAATATGAAACGCTATCTAAGGTAGCTTTTTAAAATAAGCTAGGAGCTTCTTAATTAACTTTTTTCTATCTTTATCCTTATTCTTTTAAATAAATGACATCTTTTACCCTTCCCAATTAAAATTCTTTTTGGCTTTTTTCTTCTCCTATATTTTTATTTATCCTCTTCCACAACTCTTCACAACTCTTTAAAGTTCTAACTCCAATTGCCCATTCATAAATAAATGACATCCTAAGTGAGGGGGGTTCCTTGTGCGCAGTGAGCACCGGTCTAGCCTCTGTGGTTCATGTTCAGTTGAGTTACCATGATTTACATCCTCCCAAATTCTCTGTCGGGTCGGAGTGTGGGGGCCATTAAAGTTGGGGTTCAGCCTTTTGGAAGAATAAATAAACGACATCCTTTACCCTTACCAATTAAAAACTTTTTTTCTTTTGTTTTAATTTAATATATATCTCATATATATTATAAAAACATTTTTTTTAAATTAAATATATCTCATCTAATCTAATCTAATCTAATCTAATCTAACTCTATAATAAAGCAAGAAGCTTTTGCCAAAAAAATTTTCCCGCCCAATTGATACTACATCGTTTTGACAATAGCAGACATTTGCATCTAATTTAATGCCATGTATAATTAAATTCCACATTGGGATAAGGCTTAGCCGGTTTTTTTTTTTTTTTTTTTTTTTTTGACAACAAATTTGAATTGCTTTGTAATTTCCCAAGTTAATAATAACCAGGTCATTAAATGCAGAACTATTCCTATTCCAAACTACATAAGATAACTAAAACATAAGTAACTAATATACGAACTTATTACAAACCACTAAAGAGATAATACATGATATCAAATCTACAATTACCAAGACAGTGGCTACATTTAAAACATTTAATGAAATCTTAGAATTCCCATACAGTGGCGGCTATTCAAAAAGGTTTAAAGAATAGCAGCCCTTGATTTAAAAGCCTATAAAAGGCCAACTTCACGCTGCAAAACTTCCTTCCCAAAATCAGATTACTATTCTTGGCATTTCAAATCAGTTTTGCTTCAACAACATGCCTTCAATGTTTGTTCCTGTTAAAGATATTAAACCTGAACACCAACTGAGGGCAATAAGGGTTAGAGCTGCCAGGGTATACGAAGTTCCTGAGGTAAGGGGAGATAGCCATACAAGCAAGAGTATGGAAGTTTTGTTGCACGATGAAGAGGTACTCCTTTTTTTTTCTTTTTCTTTTTATGCAAAATATCACTGCTATCTACGAAAATAATATTAGTTAAACACCTACTCAGTTCTGTTTTTTGTTATTGACATAAGTCTACTTTATTCTTTAATATTCATGAAAATAATATTACAAAATTTAAATTTACTTCCATTGCTGAATTACAACAGATGGTATGAATGTTCTAGGACCTTGCAGTTCAACTTCACTACCAAAATCAATATCCACAGGACCACGGATGCCTACTGGACCTCTTTTTGTCAACTCAGAACCTTATATATATTTATATTGTCAACTAAAATTAGTTGTGGTAGATATCATTAATCAATACATGAATGATCATAAAATTACAAAGTTTATTATGTCAAATTTATTAGGTTTTCAAACTGTATATTTTTTCATCTAATTATATTATACGGTATATTCTATATACTATATATATAGCCGTGCGTCGCACTGACGTTTCTGTGGAGAGCATTGTCCTCTGCTTTAAGGTCTAAGAGGGAAATAGTATTAAATGTTGCATCTAGTGGCATAGCTTCTCTTTTATTACCAGGTGGAAGAACTGCACATTCTCGGTTTGCCATACAGATATCTGTTAATGAAGATTCCACTTGCAACATAAGTCATGGTAGTCCATTAGCAGAGCTTATTATTAAAAGCAAGTTGATAATATGGGATGAAGCTCCAATGATGCACAAATTTTGTTTTGAAGCCCTCGACCGAACTATGAGGGATTTGTTGTGCTGCAAAAATCCGAGTAGTTATGAAATGACATTTGGTGGTAAAATAGTGGTTTTTGGTGGCGATTCAGGCAAATTCTACCAGTAATTCCAAATGGTACAAGACAGGATATTGTTCGAGCGAGCATAAATTCCTCATATCTTTGGAAATCCTGTAAAGTATTTAGGCTAACTAAGAATCTACGCCTAAGAAGTGTACAATCACAAATTGAGGCCAAAGAGATTGAGGAGTTTTCAAACTGGATAGCTAATATAGGTGATAGAACTGTTGGTAATTCAAGTGATGGGGAGGCAGATATTACAATTCCCGTCACTTACTGCTGAAGTGCAACGATGATCCTATTGCTAAAATTGTTGATAGCACATTCCCTCTTTTTAGACGTGGTATTGGGGATCTGACATATCTCAATGATAGTGCTATTTTGGTTCCAACATTGGATGTGGTAGATAGCATTAACCAATACATGAATGATCATAATCTGGCTGAGGGTAAGACTTACTTGAGTTGTGATTCTGTTTGTAAGTCAGATTCAAATGTAGATGTTAGCAGATTTGCACATTCCCGAATTCTTGAATGGGCTGAGATGTTCTGGAGTACCAAATCATGCTTTGACATTGAAAGTTGGGTCACCTGTTATGCTCTTGAGAAATATTGATCACACACTTGGATTATGCAACGGTACAAGGTTGATTGTTACTAGGTTAGCTGATCACGTGTTGGAAGCCCAGATCATGTGCGGTAAAATTGCAGGAACAAGAGCATTAATTCCTAGAATGTCACTTACACCGTCAGATCCAAGATTGTCTTTCAAATTCCAACGAAAGCAATTTCCGTTGATGCTATCCTATGCCATGACAATCAACAAAAGCCAAAGACAAGTACTTTCAAAAATGGGATTGTTGTTGAAAAGACTGGTCTTTAACCATGGCCAAATGTACGTAGCCGTTTCAAGAGTTAGTAACCCAAGGGGTTTAAAAATTTTGATTTGTGGAGAAAATGTACCATGTTTTAGTACGACTAAAAATGTTGTGTGCAAAGAAGTCTTCAACAATGTGTAATAAAATTCCAAAATTTATCATTTCAAATTTTCTAAGTTTTTAAAATGTATATTTTTTCATCTTTTTATATTATACGAAATATTCTATGCACTATATATATAGCCGTGCATCGCATGAGTTCAACACAGAAATCTTCAACAATGTGTAATAAAATTTCAAAACTTAATAAAATCAAATTGATTAAGTTTTTAAAATGTATCTTTTTTCATCTTATTATATTATACTGAATATAATATAAACTATATATATAGCCGTGCATCGCACGGGTGCAACTAGGCTATTCTTGAATGAAAATAAAATTGTTGATAGCACATTCCCTAATTGAAATTGTTGATAGCACATTCCAGAACATTTGTTGTTGAAGTGCGAGGATGACCCTATTGCTACAATTGTTGATAGCACATTCCCTAATTTTAGACTGGGAATTGGCGATTTGTCATATCTTAATGATAGTGCAATTTTAGCTCCAACATTGGATGTGGTAGATGCCGTTAACCAATACATGAATGATCATAATCCGGCTAAGGGTAAGACATACTTGAGTTGTGATTCTGTGTGTAAGTCAGATTCAAATGTTGACATGTTAGCGGATTTGCACACTCCGGAATTCTTGAATGCCTTGAGATGTTCTGGAGTACCAAATCATGCTTTGACTTTGAAAGTTGGATCACCTGTTATGATATTGCGAAATATTGATCACACACTAGGATTATGCAACGGTACAAGGTTGATTGTTACAAGGTTAGCTGACCACGTGCTGGAAGGCCAGATCATGTGCGGTACAAATGCAGGAACCAGAGTATTGATTCCTAGAATGTCACTTACACCGTCAGATCCAAGATTGCCTTTCAAATTTCAAAGAAATCAATTCGCTTTGATGATATCCTATGCCATGACAATCAACAAAAATCAAGGACAAACGCTTGCTAAAGTGGGGTTGTTATTGAAAAAACATGTCTTTAACCATAGACAATTGTACGTAGCTGTTTCAAGAGTTAGTAACCTCAGGGGGTTTGAAAATTTTGATTTTTAGGGAAAATGTACCATGTCTTAGTACGACTAAAAATGTTGTGTACAACGAAGTCTTCAATAATGTATAATAACATTCAACAATTTATTATTTAAAATTTAGTATTTTTTTTAAATACTATGTTTCTTATTCTTATTATATTATACGTAATATTCTATGTACTATATAGGTAGCCATGCATCACATTGTTTCAACAATGAAGTCTTCAACAATGTCTAATAAAATTACTAAATTCATATATCCATGTGTAATAAAATTACAAATTTTTCATTTCAAATTTTTTCTGGTTCAAATACTCTATTTTCTATACTGTATATATATCATACTATATATATAGCCGCGCATCGTGCGGGTGCACCTACTAGTTCATGAAAATAATATTACAAAATTTAAATTTACTTCCATTGCTGAATTACAAAAGATGGTATGAATGTTCTAGGACCTTGCAGTTCAACTTCACTACCAAAAGCAATATCCACAGGACCACGGATGCCTACTGGACCTCTTTTTGTCAACTCAGAACCTTATATATATTTATACTGTTTTTAATTTGCAACTAATAAGAGTATATTATTTCTTTTAATACTTCAACAACAAGTAACTGATGCAGTCCATGAAGGTACAAGGCTGTCATTTTCATATAGTATTGTATTAAAACAATACTTTGTGTTTTGTAATGAGTGTAGTTTTTTAGCTAGCAGTGTATGTTTTAGTAGTTTTACATTAGATTATGTTTTCTTCATCCTAAAAATTAAAAAAAAAAAAAATGAGTTAGACTGTAAAAAAGTAAATAGACTTTGTATATGAGTGGAATTGTAGCTATGTGATGGATTTACTTATTGCGTGCTACCATTGCTAAGGATAAATATTAAATGCTGATTTCAATTCAAACACAGACTATAAATTGACTACAACTATGATAATACAAAACTATTATCACTTCAAACCCAAAATTTTACCTGATAAAAACAGACTGTTGAGGGTAATCTTTCACACGATATGAAGAAATTGACAGGATCTACAGTTATAGGAAATAAACGAAAGTCTCAGACAGACGACAAAGTTAAATAATTCATTTTTTAAGTATATTTAAACAGACTTATCCCCAAAAATTATAAGAATTTGTTACAATCAGGTAGGTAAGAATTACTTATCTCTCTTAAAACACAGTTCTATTACTTGGTTTTTTTTTTTTTTTTTGAAAGTAGTTCTATTACTTGGTTAATTTGCATGCAATACATTAAAGACACAATTATCAGTTGTTAGACTAATGGTAAGAAAAAATACATAAATCTTCAAAGTTAACTCACATAGACATAAGAATGTGGACATGCCTTCGAAAATTGAAAAAAAAAAACAAAAAAAAAAAAAAAAAAAAAAAAAAAAAAAAAAAAAAAAAAAACTAGATTTAGGGTTTTGCTTTACAGAACCACAAGAAAATGTGGATAAACGTTATTTAAATGTTTGAATTCGAGAAATTAGCACAGATACACATAGGTCGAGTAGTAGAGGAAGAATCACATACCTGATTTCCTGCTATTGAACAATAAAATGCTTGCTTTCAAGCTCTAGCTTAGCTTTAATTGACAATGGTTTCCAGATCTGTAGCTGGAAAATTTGGAGTAAGTCTGCGAACTTTCGAGATACAGAGACGAGAGATAGGAAATGAGAGGCTAAGGGGTCGTTTACTTCATTTCTTTGTTTTTCCATTTCCAGTTTTTCATTTCTCCATTTCTCCAGTTTTCCTTCTCTATTTCTCCAGTTTTCCATTTCTCTAGTTTTCTAATTTGCATTCCCTATTCCTCTGGTTTTTCACCTCTCGTTTTCATTTCTCTAATTTCCTAATTTCATTAAATATAATCATCTCATATATAATTTGTACATTTCTATAATAATAATAATAATAATAATAATAATAATAATAATAATAATAATAATAATAATAATAATAATAATACTAATAATAGTAATAATAAAACAAAAAATCTGTGGGGAGGAGGAAAAAAAAAAGAAAAAATAATAATAATAATAGCAACGATAATGATAATAATAATAATAATAATAATAATAATAATAATAATAACAAAAAATCTGTGGGGAGGAGGAAAAAAAAGAAAGAAAAAAAAGATAATAATAAAGATAATGATAATAATACGAATACTAATAATATTAATTAATTAATTAATTATAATAATAATAATCATCCCATATATAATTTGTATATTTCTACAACAAAGATAATAATAATAATAATAATAATAAACAAAAAATCAGTGGGGAGGAGGAAAAAAAGAAAAAAATAATAATAATACTAATACTAATACTAATAATATTAATTAATTAATTAATTAATTAATTAATAATAATAATAATAATAATAATAATAATAATAATAATAATAATAAAAAAGACGCGAAGGAGAAGAAGTGAAGAACAAAGAAAAGGGAAAATGACTCCTCAGATGTGCACATCTAGATTCGAAAAGCAAACCTCTCTTACCAAATACTATTTACGTGTGTAATTTCCACTCCTCCATTTGGAGAAGTCCAAATTTTCTTTCTCCAAAAATGTACATAAGGTTGGAAAATGGAGGGGAGTTAGGCAATTGAAAAGATGATTTTAGTAAACAAGTTTTCCATTTTTCATTCTTCCACCTCCCCAATTCTCTGTTTTTCCAAAAAATCCTCAATTTTTTCAGTTTGGTAAACGACCCCTAAATCTCACTCCACTTCCGAGAAAGAGAGACGGGAGATGAAGAAACCAGAGGCTGAAATCCCATTCTTTCTAGAGCATTCTTATGTGTGTGAGTGTATATATATATATATATATATATATATATATATATTCATGACTAGTATGTATACATGAAACGTAAGTGCAAAAGACATGGCCCATATAAGACACAATCCATTGTTGTGTCTAGGGATTCGCTTTCAATTTTTGAAGATGAATGTATATGACAATTATTCAATCATGGTCAATTCTACGCAGCCTCAAGAGTTAATAATCCTAGGGAATTAAAAATTTTGATGTGTTTAAAAAATGTATCATTTCTAAGTACGACTAAAAATGTTATGTACAAAGAAATTTTCAATAATGTTTAATAAAATTGCAATGTTTATCATTACAAGATTATTAGTTATTCATATATTCTATTTTTTCTTATTATATTATACGGTAAATTCTCTCTCTCTCTCTCTCTCTCTCTCTCTCTCTATATATATATATATATATATATATATATATATATATATATATATATATATATATATATATATATATATATATTAGAAAAATATCTTGAATGGTCTGTGATGTTTTGGCGTACCCAATCATGCTTTGACTTTGAAAGTTGAGTCACCTGTTATGCTTCTGAGAAATATTGATCATACTCTCGGATTATGCAACGCTACAAGGTTGATTGTTACTAGGTAATTAGTTGATCACGTGTTGGAAGCCTAGATCCTGTGCGGTACAAATGCAGGAACAAGAGTATTAATTTCCAAAATGTCACTTACACCGTCAGATCCAAGGTTGCCTTTCAAATTCCAACGAAAGCAATTTCCTTTGACGTTATCATATGCCATGACAATCAACAAAAGTCAATGACTATTTTTCAAAAGTGGGATTGTTCTTGAAAAGACATGTCTTTAACCATGGCCAAATGTATGTAGCTGTTTCAAGATTTAGTAACCCAAGGGGTTTAAAAATTTTGATTTGTGGCGAAAATATAACATCTATAAGTACGACAAAAAATGTGGTGTACAAATATGTCTTCAACAATGTGTAATAACATTATAAATTTTAACATTTTAAATTTTTTACATTTTCAAAAAATATATTCTATATATTTCATATACTATACATATTGCCGTGCATCACACGGGTACAAATACTAGTATATTTAATAATATAAAAATAATATAATAATCACATCCTTTAAATTTTATGAAAATTTCATTTTTAGTCTTTTTACATTTATCAGTTTATCAAAAAATTTAATTTCACCAAACACTTTTAAGCATAATCAGCTAGTTAACAGTTCTTCAGTTTTCCGCTTCTAGCTTATAGCTTTTCAGCTTTCAGTTACTTTTCAGCTTTCAACTACCTTTTGAGTTAGGTTTGGCAAACTTAGCCTAAGTATGTTATGAATGTATATACTTTGCCAAATATATGAAAATATAACTATATTTTTATATTGTATATTTTAATATCTTTTAATTTTTAAAAATTATTATTTAACATCATGATAATATAATTTATTCCGAAAACAATAGTGATGTAATATAAGATTAAAATTGAGTCATTAAACATTACATTTATTTATATTTAGAACGGTGTGCCGGCTAAAAAGACAATAGCGAATATCAATATAAGAGTAATTAATAAGAGTAAAAGACATTTTTGGTCCTAGACTTATAGTGGCACGGAAAATTTTGGTCCTCCATAAAAAATTTTGCTATTTTATGAACATACTTCTTGTGACGAGGACATTTTTGATATCTGTCTGTAATTCTATTAAATGGTCATCTAATATGAAGGCAATTGCGTCAATTCAGTCTATCTCACGCCTGCTTTTCCTCCTTCCCTAGGGTTGATGATACCTTTCTTCTACAATATTCTCCAGTTGATGAATGAATCCAGAAGAATCACAATTTCGATGTTACGAAAAAGAAAAAGAATAAAAACATAGATACACTGACCAAAAAACAGAAAAAAAAGATTTGCTTGGGGTTGCGATCACATAGCGAGTTTTGGAGTGAGTTGAAGACGATGAGAGGAGGAATGGAAGAAGCAACTGACTAGAAAATCAGATCAGAGGAAGGAGTAGATAAATAAAAAATTTGTGTGAAGCAGAAAAAGTAGATATGTGTGCTAGTTGATATTAATTTTAGGAAATACTATTATCAATATCAAATTACCCTTCATATTTTTCTTGCTTCTGATGTTTCTTTTATTATTGCATTATTAGGAGTGAATATTTGACATATTACTTTCATCTCTGGATAGACAAGGAGAGCTTCATCTTATTAGGAGCACGCTACTCCATAAACGAAATAGATGAAGTTTGAGAGTTGTGGACATAATACTTTACATAAGAGTGCGTGTAAATTTATTTGTTTTAAACATTAACTTATGTTTAGTTTATGTTTGAATGTAGTTGACAGGATAATAGGGCTGGCACCCGACCCGGATCATGAAGGGGCATCTGACTCAGCATCGCTTGGGAACCCAACGGGCAGAACTCCAACGGTTAGGAATTCCAACAGGTGCCACCTTACTGTCATTGAAGCCAGCATTGAAGCCCCCATTGATGAGAGAGAATTAAAGGCTAGGCTCCCCATTTATGTCCTATGTTGTTACCATTAGGACTCTAAGTATAAATGGGGCTCTCCTCACTAGACAAAGACACACTGTACTTTCCATACTGAAACTAAGGCAATACAACTATTGTCACTTTCTTATTCGTTACTTTATAATATATTTCCGGTAACATTATTACCGTCATTGGTGCTTTCATTGAGAGCCTGAGTCCAATACTCAAGCAGGCTACGACACACAAAACTCATTTCTCTTTCAACAGCAAGCTTGAAAGAATGGCGTCCCGCAGCTCCCATGGTTCTCGCAACGTGAACAATGGCAACACCTCAGGCGACCTCCGTGACCTACTCACCAACAATCGCGGAGGGGACCTCCGAGAACATCTCAACAATGGGAGGCCCGGGGACCTTCGAGATCAACTCAACAATGGAGGGGACCTTCGAGACCAACTCAACAATGGAGGGGACCTCCGAGACCAACTCCACAATGGAGGGGCGAACCAAGTCATGAGCCTCCAGGCAACCATTCAGCAAGCAGTGACGACGGCACTAAACCAAGTGGCGGTGGGACTACAAGGCCAAGTGCCCCCGCCGCGGCCTCAGGAAATAGAGGTAGAATCCCCACGGAGAGTGGATGCCCAGGACGCAACCCGTGCCGCGAGGGACGCAGGGCGTCGCACTAGGACCGGGGGCCCGGGGGAGGGCACCCAAAGAAGCGGACCGGCCGGACGGCAACCTAGGCCCTCCCGCTCTGCCTTAGAACGGTTGGGACACGCGACGCCCGCTCGACAAAGGCCGGAATCGCATGCCGAGGGGTCTTCCGCTAGAGGCCCTCGCCGACACGAGGAAAGAGAAGCGGAAAGATCGCCCACAGAAAGGATGGGCGAGTCTCGTGAGCCGGCCCCGCGCCGGCACGATGACGAGTCGGCCCCGCGTCGACACTTGGATGAGCGACGCGTCGATGAGCCGGCTCCGCGTCGGCACTCAACGGACGAACGACGCGTTGGTGAGCGGGTTCCACACCGACACCTGGAGGGACGAAACGCCGAGGAACGAGCTCCGCGTCGACACTCAGATGGACGACGCGTCGATGAACTAGCCCCACACATGGAGGAGCGGCAGTCGGCCCCGTGCCGGCACCCTAACGAGTCGACCCTAGTCGAAAGGCTGCAGAGAAGGATCGAGGAGCTGGCAAGAAGGGTGGAAGCACGGGAGCAGTCGCCGGAACCCGAGGTACGAATGGCAGCACCGTTCTCCCCAAGCATCATGGACGTACCTCTGCCGAGGGACTTCAGGTTACCCGCCATCAAGGCGTACACGAGAGCCACTGACCCACGTGTCCACATGACTAGGTACAAGGCTGCTATGGTAATGATTGGGGCAGGGGACGCCATCATGTGCCGAGCATTCTTGTCCACCCTGGATGGAACGACCCAAGATTGGTTCAACACCATCCCAGATGGGTCGATCCAAAACTTTGGAGAGTTGTCCAAAAGCTCCCTGACGTACTTCTCGGGTAGCATACATCGTAAGAAACCGTTCTCTCACCTCTGTGCGGTAAAGCAAGATAGAGGCGAGAGCCTCAAAGACTTCCTGATCAAATGGAAAAAGGAAGTCAATAATGTCTACGACTTCGACTCCAAGGCGGCGATCCCGATATTCATCCACGCCTTGAGATCGGGGTATTTTCACAAGCAGCTGAACGCCCACCACCCCCGTTCTTACGAAGATTTGATGAGGACGGCTAGCCGCTATGCCAAGGCAGAGGACGTCGACGGGAAAAAGAAAGATGAGGAGGACGGCAGGAAAAACGGGAAACCTGGGAAAGCTGGTCCGTCCAGCCAAGCACCACGTTCGAACCACCCGGCCGCAGGGAAAGGCCGGGACCATGAACGGCCTCGCCTGGTTTCCCTGCGTAACCTAACTCCTCTTACCCATCCAGTGCATGAAGGTCTCCCCAAAAGGAGACCAAGCAAAGTACTGCAGGTTCCATTGGCAACCCGGACACGACACGGATGAATGTAACGTACTGAAGAGACAAATAGAAGAACTCATCCAGCAGGGCTACTTCCGGCATTTCGTCAAGCGATCCAAGCAGCAGCAACAGCCGCAGCGCAATCGATCAAAAAATCCACCAAAAAATGTCTAGAGGAAGGAGGATAGCGCCGAGCCGTCCACCTCGAACGCTATGAAAAGAGAACATGACCAGATATCTGAGCAGGATGATAGCAAGAAGGAAACCGAGGTGGCGCCCAGACGACAAAAGAAACACACCATACACTTTATCTATGGTGGACCTGCGGGGGGCGACACACCCACAGAGAGGAAAAAGTGGAGCAGACAGCTGTACGTGGGAGAAGTGGTAAGTCTTCCCAAAGGAAAGATGCAGAGGCGGGAGCCCATCACTTTCTCTGACGAGGACCTCCCCGAGGGCCCCTTACCCCATCGCGACGCACTTGTGATCAAGATGGATATCAATGATACGATCGTACATCGCATCTTGGTCAACACGGGAAGCTCGGGTTAATGTGATGTACTACGATGCTTTCACCGAGTTAGGGCTACCTAGAGGCCAGCTCAAAGAGGTACGAACTCCACTCTCTGGGTTTACTGGGGATTCGGTGGAAACAGAAGGGTCGGTGACCCTGCCCGTGGAAATAGGCACGAGCCCCAACATTCGCAAGCTGGACATGGAGTTCATCGTGGTAAGACTCACTTGTGCGCACAACATCATACTCGGGAGGCCAGCACTGGAGGACCTCAAGGCCATAGTATCGGTGGAACACCTGTGTATGAAGTTCCCCACTCCGAATGGAATAGGAGTCGTCAGGGGTGACCGACGGGCAGCCCGCAGTTGCTACGTGAAGGCATGCAAGAAGATTGGCAGTAAGGACCTACAGGTCCACACGATCGCGGAGAAAATTTTCAAAGAAGAAGAGGCCTGGCCCCGCGCCGAGCCCGCGTCAGAAACGGAAGATATAGTTCTGGATCCCTCCAGACCAGACCGAGTGGTGAAGATCGGCATAGGATTAAGCCCAGAACTAAGGGCCCAGATAGTGGATGTAATCCGCCGTTCTCACACGGTGTTCGCATGGGGGCCAGAGGACATGCCGGGCATAGATCGAAGGATCATAACCCACAAGCTCGCAGTCGATCCCAGCGGAAAACCAGTGCATCAGCGAAAAAGGTATATGTCGGCAGAACGAAGGGAGTTCGTGAAAAAGGAGGCGACCGCATTACTCAACGTAGGGCACATCAAGGAGATTTACTACCCACAGTGGCTGAGCAACGTAGTCTTGGCTCCCAAAGGATCAACATGGAGGATGTGCATGGACTACACGGACCTCAATAGGGCATGCCCTATGGTCCGTTTTCCACTACCCAATATAGATCAATTGGTGGATGAGACGGCAGGATGTGAACTCATGAGCTTCATGGACGCCTTCCGTGGGTACCATCAGATATCCATGCATGAGGAGGACGCAGAGAAGACCGCTTTCACCACTCACGAGGGGATATTCTGCTACGTGGTCATGCCGTTCGGACTGAAGAATGCCGGGGCCACATACACTCGTATGGTGGCAAAGCTGTTCAAGACAGTACTGAGACGAAACATGGAAGCATACGTGGACGACATGATCGTCAAAAGTCGCAACGCCACCTCCCATGTCGAGGATCTCAGTGAGGTATTTTCCATTATGAAGAAATTTAATTTGCGCTTGAACCCAAAAAAATGCACCATCGCCGTTGATGGGGGCAAATTTCTAGGCTTCATGGTCACTAGGAACGGCATTGAGCCGAATCCAGAAAAAGTAAGGACTATCCTTGACATGGAGCCTCCGCGGTCCATAAAGGAAGTCCAGAGACTCAACGGGCGTCTGGCGGCCTTAGGCCGTTTTCTATCTAAATCGGCTGAACGTTCCCTCCCCTTCTTCCAAATCTTGAAAAAGAGCAAAGGGTTCGAGTGGATGCCAGACTGTCAAAAGGCCTTTGAAGAGTTGAAAAAATATTTGTTGTCCCCGCCCCTGCTTGCAAAGCCAGAGGCAGGTGAAACCCTAATCCTGTACTTGGGCGTGTCACAGGGTGCGATCAGCTCCGTGCTGGTCAAAAAAGAAGGAGGGACTCAGCGTCCCATCTACTACGTAAGCAAAGCCCTACACGACGCGGAGCTCCGGTACAATGTGTTGGAGAAAACAATATTTGCCATAGTCACTTCATCAAAAAGGTTGGCTCACTACTTCCAAGCTCACCCCATCCACGTACTCTCACATCAGCCGTTGGGAGCTTCCTACGGGATACTAACAGCTCCACCAGGATGGCACGATGGGCCATGCACCTCAGTCAGTTTGACATAGATTTCAAACCAAGGCCCGCCATCAAAGGCCAAGCTCTTGCAGACTTTATAGTGGAGTGCACAGCTCGGGAAGTGACGGACCAGGTAGAAACTGAAGATGGAGGGTGGTGGACCTTGTCCACAGACGGCTCTTCAAACAGCAAAGGTTGCGGCGGTGGCGTAGTGCTCGTCACTCCGGAGGGATTCCGCCCCTACTATGCCATCCGATTCCACTTCAAATTATCTAACAATGAGATAGAGTACGAGGCCCTCCTCAATGGACTGCGATTGGCGGCGGGACTACGAGCTGAGAAGGTCCGAATTCGATGCGATTCCAAGCTGGTGGTCAGCCAGGTATCTGGGGAGTATGAAGCCAACGAAGGAAGCATGCAGAAATACAGAGATGCGGTGTTGAGAACCCTGCGCGAGTTTGAGGGATATGAGATACACCAGGTACCTAGAGAGCAGAACGCCGACGCCGACATGCTCTCAAAGCTAAGTACCCGAGTCCCCAGCCACATTAGGAAGATCGCTCGACTAGAAGACCTCGGACTTCAAGTATCGACGTTTCGTGGGTCTTCCTTGTACAGACTAGGGAGCCATGTTGGATTGATCATTTCAAACGATACAAGGCAGATGGCACCCTACCGCAAGACGAGGCAGACGCAAAGGTAACGAAGTTACGGGCACCCAACTACGTTGTCTCGGGCGATAAACTGTACAAACGCTCCTATAACGGCACGTTACTGAGGTGTCTATATCCAGAAGCGAAGTTGGTGATAAAAGAAGTCCACGAGGGGGTATGCTCGGTGCACCAAGGGGCGTAAACCATCGCACGCCGCATCATGTTACAAGGGTATTTTTGGCCCAAAATGCTGAGGGACTGCGCCGAGTATACAAAGCGATGTCCTAAGTGCCAAGAATTCCAAGCACTGCCGGGTCGACCTGCGACGAACTACACCCCGGTAAGCACCGCGATTCCTTTTTCGAGATAGGGAATTGACCTGGTAGGGGCCCTTCCCACGGGGACTGGAAGCAGGAAGTACATCATTGTGGCCATCGACTATTTCACGAAATGGGTGGAGGCCGAGCCCCTGGCGAGCATCACCGCAGCAAGGTGCAAAAGGTTTGTCGAGAAAAACATCCTGTATCATTTCGGTATCCCTCTCCAGGTAATCACAGACAATGGCCGTCAGTTCGAGGCACGAGAATTTTCAGAATTCTTAGCAGGATGGGGCGTTAAGCATAACCGGGTGGCGGTATCTTATCCTCAAGCGAATGGGCAAGTGGAGAATGCGAATAGAACCATCCTCGACGACCTCAAGAAAAAGCTAGAAGTGGCTGGCGGAGCCTGGGTGGAGGAACTCGACAGCATCCTCTGGGCCTATCGCATGACACCAAGAAGGGCCACCGGGGAAACCCCGTTCGCACTTGCCTATGGATTCGAAGCTCGAGCCCCGGTGGAAGTAATCATACCTAGTAGAAGGGTGGAGGAGTTCGAGTCAGAACAAAATGAACTCCATCAAAGGGTGGATCTGAACTTCTTGGATGAAAAAAGAAAAGCGGCATTCTGCAAGATGGAGAACTACGGTCGTCAGCTAAAGTCCTACCACGATGCAAAAGTCCGACCCCGGTACTTCCAGGTCAGCGACCTTGTGTTGTGAAGAAGGGAAGCCAGCCAACCCCTTGAAGGGGGAAAATTCGCAAAGAAGTGGGAGGGGCCTTACGCCGTGGAGGAAGTCATTCGCCCAGGAACATACAAGTTAAAAACTACAGGGGGAAGAATGATCGATCAGGTATGGAACTCGGAACATTTGATCAAGTACTTTCCTTAAAAATCCTGTAGTAGCAATCATTGGAAATAGTACTTGGCAATCGCGGTCCGTCCGCTTTACACGCTAAAATTCTTGGAAATAATATCTTACTTTCATGGTCCGTCCATGTTATTTACTAAAACAAATTCGTTATCATCTTTTACGAAATTTTCTGAAATAATATCTCGTTCTCATGGTTCGCCCGTGTTGTAAAAAAAAATAAATAAAAATTAAAAAAAATAAATATAGAAGCTCGGATGGCCGAGGCCCGCCTCGGCCATGATTTGGCCGAGGCGCACGCCCTCGGCCAAAGGTTGGCCGACATGTTTATAAAAAAATAATTATAACAACATGTTTATTCCGAAGTAACTAGTTTATTTCGAATATTCTAAAAATAGTAGCAAGTTGTTCAAACACAGAAAGCAAATTGTTCAAAGACATAGCTAGAAAGCAAGGGAAAATCTCAAGACTATGAACTACTCATGATCCGAGAGCTCCTCAATCATAATCTGATCAAGTGGAACATTGGGGACGTTGCTAGTGTCGATGCCGTGAAACTCGTCCACCAAAGAATCCTCACGAGCGTCCATAACATCATCAGTGGATTCATTCTTAGCATCAGGATCTGGATTCTTCTCTATTACAGGCAAGCCGAGGGACACGGGGTCAAAATTTGGAACCTTCTCCCTCAGCACCGAAAAGATCTCCTGTTGCTTCGTGTACCGCCCAATGTTAAAAGCCACATATGCCTCAGCCTCAACCGCCTCTTGACCAGCCCCAGTCTTGAGGAATTCTCGGATAGCCTCAGGATGGCACATATAGTGCATCGCGTCCTCCCTAAACTCGGCGGAACTCTTGTAGACCTCCACAGCCCGGCCGAGGGCGTCGGCATGGCCAGCACGGGTCCTCTCGTGGTCCTCCCGCTCCTTCACGATGGCAAGTTTAGCCGCTCCGTGCTCTTTCCTCAGGGCCTCAAGCTCGCCCTCCATCTTGCTTATAGCCTCCGCCCGAGCCAACAGCGCTTGGTGCTCCTTCCTTAGCGCCCCGAGCTCGCCTTCCATCTTGCTCAAAGCCCCTTCCCGGATCGATAGCAGGTCCTTGAGGCTCTTGTTGTCCGCGTCCCTAATTTTAACATCCTCAATGAGCGAGTCCGTCACCCGCCGTCGTTGGGCATGAATGATCTGTCCCTCTAGCAAGCCTGAAAGTAACAAACAGAGTAAGACACACGCCAGGGCAGAGAGGGAACATTAAGTATGAAAACACTAACCTCAAAAATGTGCCTGAGATAACGCTCTTGCAGCATGTTGACATCCATGGCGACAAGGTGTTCCAAGTTCGCAGGAGGAGCGATACGAGCAGCATACTCAACCGCATCAAGGCTCTTATTTATCAACGACGCTCCGAGTGGCATGTCCATGCCCAGTCGGATCAAGTTGGTCCGAACACGCGAGCCAAACTCATTGGAAGTATCTCCTTGCACCTCGGGGGGTTGAGGGGAAAAGGTAACGACCGTGGGTGTGCGAGTCGGTGGAGGCTGCGTCACCCCCTCGGCAACCTTGGCTGGAGTAGGCGTACGCACCCTCTCGGCGACCTTGGTTGGGGTAGGCGTACGCTCAACGACCTTGGATGGGGTCGGCGTGCGTGCTGGCGGAGGCGGCATCACCTCCGAGGCCTCGGCTTGACTCTTTTTCCCTTTCTCCACCTTGCTCTTCTTAGAGGGGGGATCCGGTCGCGACAAGTATCAGCTAGTTCTCGAAGATGAAGACATGGTACCTGCAATAAAAAGAAGACAAGTTAGAGTTAGTGGTTGACGAATAAATACTGAGTGGTAACTGAAGAGTACCCGTGGGTGAAAGAACAGCCGGATGAGCCCTCACGAAGCCTAAGCCCGCGAACTTCCACTCGGTAGTATAATCAACGATCGATAAAAGACCATCCCCCAGTAAATCATCTACATCTCGGCGGAGGGAGGGACTCATGTCAAGAGTAGGAGGGCAACGTAAATGGGATCCCCATGTGACACGAAAGGGAAACGGATGACCCACAAGGGTGACAAAGACATATTTGGGTTTCCAATCCTTGTTATAAGTAGGACGGTCCTCAAAGAGTTTGAAATGCGGCCTGCTCGAAACCATGATAAATCCCTTACCCCCCTGAGAAGTCCTACCAACTATGAAAAGAGCCTGGAAAAGATCTAGCGTGGGTTCTATCCCTTTGTCCTTACATAGAGCAAGAAAGCCCGCAATTACCTGGTGACCATTGGGAACAAGCTGGTCGGGGGCTATCTCGTAGTGGTTCATAAAATATATCACAAACCTATGAAGGGGAAACCGCAGCCCAACCTGTAGCACAAAAGATGGACCCCAAAATACTTATCCAGGGGTGGGTCGATGATATTACCCCGAGGGTCAGGAGGGAGAGTCAGAACGTCAGGACTAAGGAGACCTCTAATATCATCCCAATCCCGTCCCCCTAATTGAGGCTGTATGGACAAGACAAGGGACTTATCAAGAACAGAATAGGAGGCCTTGCGTTTTTTCTTCTTTTTCATTTGAGGCTTAGGTGTAGGCGAGTCAGCAACAAACGGAAGAGGGGAAAAATTTTCAAAAAGAGGGGAATCAGGAAGAAGGTATTCCTCATCAAAATCAAGTTCTCCAACATCAATCAAGGGAGTGACATCCATTATGAAGCAAAAGACACTAACATCACATCGGTTACAGATAAGCTCGTAAGACTTGGTACAAAAACTGCTTGTCAGGAAAAGAGCGTGTCAAAAAAAAAAAAATGGTTGAGGCCGCGCCTCAGCCAAGGTCGAGGCACACGCCTCGGCCTCCTGGTCGAGGCGACGCCTCGACCACAAGCAGATCCAAAAATAAAAAAAAAAAAGGGCTGAGGCCGTACCTCAGCCAAGGCCGAGGCACACGCCTCGGCCTCTCGGTCGAGGCTGCGCCTCGGCCTCCTGGTCGAGGTGACGCCTCGGCCAAGAGCCAATTCAAAAAAAAAAAAAATTCATATATATTAAATACAGACGTATACTCATATATACATAAATACATTGTAAAATAAATTGCAAAATAATAATGACAGCGGAGACTTACAGAGCTGTGGCAGAAAGTTGTTGAAGAAGTGCTCTCAAACTGCTCAGAGAGACAGGGGTTTATATTGGAGAGGAGCTTGAGATAAAAAATTTAAATGAAGCAGGAAAGGATTGGGAAAGCACAAATCAGGGATTTGGAAGGCAAGTTAGGGATTTGGAAAACAAAACCAAATATCCTAAATCAAGCAGAATTCTACACAGGATCAAATAAAATATCCTAAATCAAGGGGATCCTACACAAGATCAAAATAGATTCAGCTTTACTCCCAAGTCAACTCAAACACATCCGTTGACTCAGGAGTAGGGGGGACTGGTGACAGGATAATAGGGCTGGCACCCGACCCGGATCATAAATGGGCATCTGACTCAGCATCGCTTGGGAACCCAACGGGCAGAACTCCAACGGTTAGGAATTCCAACAGGTGCCACCTTACTGTCATTGAAGCCAGCATTGAAGCCCCCATTGATGAGAGAGAATTAAAGGCTAGGCTCCCCATTTATGTCCCATGTTGTTACCGTTAGAACTCTAAGTATAAATGGGGCTCTCCTCACTAGACAAAGACACACTGTACTTTCCATACTGAAACTAAGGCAATACAACTATTGTCACTTTCATATTCGTTACTTTATAATATATTTCCGGTAACATTATTACCGTCAGTAGTGTTGATTGTTATTATTGTGTTGATATTATAAGTATATTGTGGTGTTTTATTGTGTTGATTATTACTCGTGAATTATATATATTGTTGTGTTTGGGTTTATAGTTATTAGTGTTAATTAGTTGGTTTTAATTTTATTGTTGTTGAATAGATAGTTTAATTAATTGTTATCCGTTTTGGATAAATTTTTGTTTTCATTTGGTAATTTTGGAAAATTCTGTACAGATTGAACCAATAAAATTATGTAATATTCATTTTTTAAATAAAATAATAATAATAAAAAATTGATATCCGCGACACCCTCTCGGATGAGGGTGTCGTGGAAAGTAATTATATAAAAAATAAATAAATACTTTCCGCGGCACCCTCTTGTAAGAGGGTGTCGCGGAAACATAATAATAAAATATATTAAAGGAATTTCCGAGTCAACCTCGAAAAGTCTGTATTAAAAAAAAAATCGTCCTCAGCTTTCCGCATCACCCTTTACAGGTGACTCGGAAAGCGAAGGACTTTCACAGTCACCAAGATCCGAGTCATCTGTACAGGTGACTCGGAAAGTGTTTTATAGGGAGACTCAATTTTTTTTTTTTTTTTTTTTTTTGTACTAGTGTACAAGGCACAAAGGTGTGCAATCACATCAATTATGATACCAAAAAGGGAAGTTATTCAACTTCAATGTTATTCTTTAAAGAAAATAAGAAATTTCATACATGAAATGCTACCTATTTGGAACTAATCCAACATAATTACAAGCTGCGAAATGAAAACTTTAAACACATAATTTTAGTCACAAGTTCAAAATATGATTTCTGCTTTCCTTGAAGTTCGAGGAAATACAACTAACTCTTTCAAAATATTAGAGACCTCCGATGCCACTACTTTCTTGTCCACAAAACTAACCCTTTCTAAGGCCGGGCAGCACGCAAGTATTAGCTTTACAAAAAGCATTTGAGCTCTTGACCCCTGGAAATATTTGATCTTCAAAGCCCGCAAACTGTTAATCTCCTCGCTCATGCAGCTAGGTTCTTGCAAATACTGTAAAACGAGGTTGTTGTCAGCAGTCGCTGTTGCAACCTATACATACAACAAAACTGAAATAAGTTAAAACCACAACAGTGAGAGTAGGGTAGAAATAAATAAATAAATGTAAGTAGACCATAAGTTTCTCACGTTTATCATAATTTCAAGGCTATGCACCCTAGGAGAGCTGTGAAGCAAGCAAAGGATGCTGGAGATTTGTACCAGATCGGTAAAGTTAATTTGAAATAGTGTAAGATCCCTCAAGTAGTTGATTTTAACTGGAAATGCACTCATAATAGAGCCTGCAGCCAAAAGCTTACCAGCACAGAGAAAAATATAATGATAATGCAACCTAAACACATTATATTGTTTGGGAAATAAGAATTGAAATCTTAAAAGAGATTGTACCTTGAGATAGTATCCATCCAGAAAAAGGTTTGAAATTAGAGGCCAGTGTTCAATCAAGCTTGCTAAATTGATCCTCTCACCATGGCCAACAGATTTAAATTCATTTGGCAATACAAGACATGCATATGTAATACTTTTGCAGTTCATAAAACAACTCAGTTTAACCCCATGATTGTTGCAAAGTATCAAGGCCCAAAGTGATGATAAACAGCCATCAAAGTTCAAGTGATCCATACCACTGCAGCTTTGTAACCTCAAACGTTCAAGCTTTGATGCAGCAAAGATAGAAGCAGAAACCTCTGGCTTGAAAGCAACTTGAGACAAAAAAAGCGCCTTAAGATTTTGAAAGCTTCTTATAGTACCACATGGTTGTTTGAAGATACAGTTATACAGATACAGATGCGTAAGTTCTTGACACAAGAATACATAAGAGGGAAGTGCATAGAGATCCCTACTGGAATTCTCCACTGTGAGTTTCCTCAATCCATGGCTTGACAAGTATAGTATCCATGGATCAATGTTTGGGTACTGTGACATGTGTACAGCAGAAAGGTTGACATGAAAAGTTAGAATGGGCCCAATATGTTGTAAGAGAATTCGATTGCCTATTCCAACAAAATCATTTCTGGTGACAGTGACTATATCCTGGGGATCAAGTACAAGATTCGGGTGACCAGCCCATATGTATCTCCATTTTCTAGACAAAATACTTGTTCTTGCTGCATCTCGAGCAGGCAAGCAATCTAGGATGCAATTTAAAACATCCGTTGGCAAGTTAAGAAGTTGATCATCCATGGCCCTCCGTTTGGTATTTCCTGAGATATCCATTCCTAATAAAATGAGAAACCAGCATTAGAAAATCCAATTGTAAAAGAACAGTTTACAATATTTGTTTTAGTTTTCTTTTCATCACCCAAATTCCCTATCTCTTGTTAACCCTATGTTAAATAGGTGTTAAAATTGAGGACAAAAAACGTAAAATCAAATATTTTAACCTTTCTTCTTCAATTTGTTTCCCCCTCCATCCGTCACAAATATTAATTTTTTACTGTTCTAATTTTCCATTTTCACTGCCGGAAATTATGGAATTTCCGACCACATGAAAATGATCTTAAATCAAGTCGAAAGTCTTGTTCCAACCACTTTTTGGTATCCGGAAAAATCTTTGTTGCTATTTCCGACCACTTTTTGTTTTCGACTTGATATAAGATCACTTTGAGGTGGTCGGAAATTCCATAATTTCCACCAGTGTTTTCTGGTTGAAAATTTTGTAATCAAAGATCTTATTACATGCTATGACGATATCATCAGCTCCACAGACAATCATGGAAAACACAGCATTACATGTTGGTGCTGCTAGGGGCCAATTAGTTCTAGTTGAAGCCCTTACTGTTGTCACCCTCAGCTCGTTACTCAATTCAACAAACTCCTTGCTTTCGGAGATTGGACTGTCAAATTGAGCACAGTAATTTTATGACGATTTCTTCATGGAAAACTCCTTGCTTTGCATCCTTTAAATGGGAAGCAACAACTCTTCTTGCTGCATATTATATTCCTACTGATTGAAGATCCCTCAAGCACAAATCAACTGCCTGGTAATTATCTCTGATGATTCTGAGCGTGGACGTTGAGTCAGAATATCAAGTGGTGTTATTCCATCCTTATCCCGATTCCCTAGTATAAGCAACTCCACAAGCTCAGAATGAATGTTACCAATGATGGTCAAACCAAGTGCAGTCTTGCCATCGTTATTCTTCAAAGATCTTATAGCAGGCTATGACGACATCATCAGCTCCACAGACGGTCCAATCATATCCTATCCTATCCTATCCTATATCCTATATCCTATATATAAAAAAAGCCAAACAGATTTGGTTGGAGGTTTTTTTTCCTATTCAATTTTTTTAATTAGAAATTATTTCCTTTAAAAAATATTTGATTTGATTTGACATTACGTGTAGCTTTTCTTGCTCATTTTTCAATGTGATATGACTGACATCCACTTTTACAAGTTAGGTAAGTAATAATAAAAGCTAGCAAGATTTTTGAATCAAACATTATGGAGAGAAACTACCTATAAATACCGTAAGTCTTTGAGAGACAACACACTTTTACATTGAAGCACAAAGGATGTCTTGGAGAGATGACCCACTTTTACATTAAAGCACAAAGGAATGATCAAGAAACAAAAGGTAGATTAATCATTATTTTCCATTCTATTATTTACACAAAACTTCCTCATTTTGAACATCTATACAGTGATGCTCATTTGTTTTGGGGAAAGGAGAACAGGGAGAGGCAAAGCTTGCACAAGAAAAAATGTTAGATCCACCTTTTTAAGGGAATCAATTGCATACCAAGGATTCTCATATTGACATCTGAAATCAAGATCAGAGTATTATCATAATAGTAAAAAGAAGAGAATAAATAAAATGTGATTGGTCTGTATGTCTATGTTTTTGGTCTCTCTACCCAAATGAATTTCTCCAGCAGTGTTCAATATTGCGATAGTGTTTTAAGAAAAATTGCATAAAATAAGGAAAATATTAGATTTTGCAGTTCAAATCATAAATCCTTACAATTTTTTGTTTTTTTGTTTTTTTTTTTAGGAAACTGCACAAAATTACTGGAATTATTAGATTTTGCAATTAAAATCATAAATCCTAACACTTTTCCTTTTTTTTTTTCCGTTTATTTTTCCTTGCTTACTAATAAAGAAAATAAGCAAATCGGATAGTTTAGATCTACAATACAGTGAACAGACGGGAAAAAAATTATACAAAAAAAAAATACTTACTTTCCTCTCAAATATGTTGATGGATTGAGCTCCTAGCCACGTACTCAGTCAGCGAGAATTGTGATAATTCCGTCGACTTTTTTCTCCATCGTCCTAATCGGTGTATACAGCTGTTCGCCGATTTATGAGGGTTTGTTTTCTTTCACGGCAGTAGAAGAAAAAAGGCAAAAAGAAAAACCCTTTTAAATGGTTTCAACTTTGCGTACGACAGTAGACAAAAACGGACAGCAGGAAAATGACGGGAGAAGGGAAAAAGAGCGGAGAAGAGTTCATACTCGTGTGGCTACCGTTCGACGTCCAGGCTTGAATTATCTTTCGCGATTGGATTTTTCTCTTTTCACTTTTCTATAAAAAAATACTCCGTAGCTCAGTAGCACTTTGAATTTATTGTTTACAGTGTTAATTTGCATTATGATTTTCGGCTAGAACCTTTAATTAGGGATTTGGATTAGCCTAGATTAGATTAATTGACTATTCTTCATGTGTTGATTCTTCTTATTTCAGTTTAATAATTGAATTTGATTATATTTATTTTATGTATTTTAATTGTGAATTGTGTGATTGACCATTGCATAAATCTAATATCAGGGTTTATAAGAAGAACTGACAGGTGAATTATGAACCTAGAACTCGTAACATAAACACAATTGACCTAAACTAGACATAGTGATGCGTAGTATATTTGCAAACAAATAATTCTCGGAGTACGAGTTATCGATCCACAGGGAAGTGGGTGTATCAAGCACTAGTTACTAACTTATTCATTAGAGCTAATCCTAACAATTACTTAGATGATTGATTGGCATAAAATAAATAAAATAAAACAGAGGTTCAGGATTTTGAAAACAATAAGAGAGAAGATGAGATTCATGGGATTCAAGTATTTAATCACCTAGTGCCAATTAACATTTGTAATATTTAGTTTGGAATTAAGATTTTTGTGGGAATGCAAGGTGGAATCGAATTACTCCTGTAATCTCTATTCCTAGTGAATTTCCACTCCCGTGGCTTAAACACCCAATAAGATCGAAGATCAGCATTCAAATATTCCTAATTACTACCATCTCCCGATGCGCAACAATCTAGAATAAACTTCCCCTAATAAGTTCCCCTTTCCCAAGGTCCAACCATTAGGTGCGATTGCGTGTGCCCTAATTTATGCCCCAACTCCCATTGGTGACACAAACATGGCTATGAAGCTAGTAACTATGGCCATTAATTACAAGCATCAAACAATATTATCACGATTGCAACACAAGTGTTAAACCCAAATAATAATATATTAAAGAAACTGAGAGCTCAGGCACATAGGTCCATAAACACTTTTACCCAAGAATCTCTAAAGAATTTAGCCAAGCATGGCTAAATTATACATAGCAAATATAAATAAAGAATTACAAATCATCAAAAGAGTACAAGAATTAACCAGACGATTTTTCCAAATCTCCCTAGTCTTCTTCTTGCTTTCCAAGACAACTTGTGGCTCTTGATTTCTCTCCTTCATGTCTCCAAGAATCTCTGAATTCTAAACTAGGAATTGTAAATTGTCTATTCTAATTATTTACTCTAAACTAAACTGCTTTTTAATTCTTAGTAGGGTTGAGGAAGGTGTGATTTTATAGTAGGTACAAAGCTAGAAAGGAATAGGAATTTTCCTAATTTAATTTAGGAAGTTTAGCTTTGGAATGATTAGGGAATTATTGTAGCCTTCTTGCTTTGGAATATTGCGATTTTAAATTAGGAAGTTTCTAAAAATCACACCCAGTGCAATAGGTACATTTTGCTAGCTTATTTTGACCCTTTTCTCTTATTATCTTGACTTTGATTTCTTCATAAGAGTTGTACCCCTTCAAGTCTTCTTTCCAATGGCACAAGAATCACCTCAATCAGACATTCCTAGCATGCGATATGATCAAAATACTAAACTGTCGCCAATCTATGCGAGATGAAATGTTAATGAAATTTTTCGACGCGTCGAGCCTGGGGTTCGACACGTCGAGTTTTTTGCTGAGTCATAGGTTGTAGCCCTTCGAGTCTTCTTTCCAATGGCGCAAGAATCATCTGAATCGGACATTCCTAGCATGAGATATGATCAAAATACTAAGCTGTCGCCGAATTCAACGGGAATTACAACTCTTCGGTCTTTTGATCCACTTTTGACTCCAATTTTGTCCTAGGACTTTCCTTGCTCATAACTCTGACCTACAATGGTTCAAAAACACTAACAAACACATAGATAAACAAATATTAATTACAATATTTCATTGATATATCTCCTGTTAACAAAAGATACGTGCTTAGACACAAAAATATTTATAATATGTAAATAATTATTTTGTGTAAAATTTATTTGCAATATGTATAGTATTAGTTATGTACTTTTGTAATAATTTTGATAGTATACCTCAAAGATATAGTTGCAATTTGTTGATGTTGTTAATCAAATACAACTACATCCAACCTTATTTAGAAAATTTATAACATACAGAACATCTAAAAATATCGTAATATATGTAATATTAATGTTCATAATAAATATCTTTATTCTATTATGAATGAATAACTACTATTATTTGTAAAATAATAATCGTGTTCCTCCTCGTTGATCTACTATACTAGCCAAATAAACAAATAAATAAACCTTTTGGACTCATAAATATCGCTCTAACAGATTTAAAAAGCAAAAAATATTGCTAACAATCAGTGGCAGAGCCAGAAAGTCGGGGTTGGGGGGTCAAATTTATAGAGAAAATTTATCATCTTAGTCGATATTAGTACCAACCACATAATATTATTATATATATACCATATATGATTGTGCCATTTATTATTGATAATTATTTTTAATTATACTATGTGCAATAATATATGAAATATATAATTATATGAGTACGATTGTTAAGATTGTCAAACATTACTTTTGAATTTTTTACATAACAAAAAAATTATACAATAGTAAAAAATAAAAAAAAATTACACTTTTAATCACTAAGTTATAGGATAATTGAAGAATTCATAATCATTAGTCGTGCTTACTTTTCGTCCCTAAAATATACTCCATAATTGATGTTGCAAATTTCATCCATTTACTAACAAAACATTATAAACGAAGTATAGCTTAGAAAGGAAGAGTGACCGCAACTTGTTATTAAAAGGACGAAATTTACAACGTCAATTATAACTTAGGGACGAAAAGTGAACATGACCAACAATTATGGACGAATTCTACAATTATTTCATAACTTAGGGACGAAAAGTGTAACTTTCGAGTTCATTTAATATATAAATAATAGATTTTTTTTTTTTAAAAGAAGGGGCCGAAAGTGTAATTTATCCATATTATAATAAAAAATATATTTACTAAAAATGGGGTGGGGGTGGGGTGGGGTGGGGGGGTGGGGGTCAGGGCCCCCCTTGGAGTAGGGGTGGCTCCGCCCCAGCTAATAATGTGTGAGTTACATGCAACATGTGCATGTAAGATAGTTCTTTGTGTATATATTTAATTTGTTTTTGACATGTAGCATTTGTGGCCATAGACAAATAAACAAAGTAATTTAATTTTAATTTTGTGTAGTGTTTATAGTTTATTTTATGCTACAAATATTGTCGTAAGAATTCTTTTTTTATAACGATATGTGCATGTGTTATAGTTGTATGATTTGATTTGTGTGTGTGTCAGTGTGCATGTGTAGACATAGATTGTGAATTAATTTGTATGCATGTGAGTTGGATTTTAATTGTGTGTGTCTGGCTAAGAGATGATTATATAGCTAAAATTATATTCCCTTGATGTATAAAATCTGTAATTGCTAATGCCGTGTGCATCAGCTGTAAATAATTCTATGCACTTGAAGTGTATGTGAATTGGGTGAGTATTAAAATTAACATTTCATTCTTCTGTGCATTTGTGAGTGTAGAAATGCTACATTCTGATTGGCACAATATTGGTGAATTAGTTCGTGTGACATATTATATTGAGTATTCAAATAAATAGTGTCTTACAGTGTGTATTTATGAGTGTATAAATAGTGCATTATGTTCGACACATTGGTGAATTAGATAGATTGCATCTATGATTAAATAATAAGTGCATTTTATGAAAGTTCACAGTGTGCATTTTTTTGTACATGTGCATTTAAAGTGTTTAGTGCATCTTGCAAGCAGTTAGGAGTGTTGGTCTGTCTAATTTCTTCTGGATTGCTAATCTCAAGCACATAACTAACCATGTTTTTATGCATTACACAGAAGGACCTGCTCTCTATGTTTCTTGATGATATGCACGACAAAGAGAAGGCTGCAATAGTGCAACTCCTAGAGCCTAAACTTATGCAAATGTGATGGAGGGATACCAAGAATAAGGTGGACTGAGGGGTGTTTGTCATGTGACACATGGAAACATCCGAGGAGAGGGAGTTGCGAATTGGGACTGTGGGCTCCGCAACGGTGATAAAACTGTTAGACATAAATAATCTAACTATACTGAATAATAATACGAGATACCTGACCTCGTATAAGAAGAAGCGATAGTCATGTTGATCTCCAGCCACAGTTGATGTTCTTGATGTGTTGCCTCTTGAACGGTAGACCGTCAGCCATATTTGTCCCACACTTGACTCAGAACCATAGATGGCATATTGGTGTCTACTGAGCAGTATGAGTACCATATCTTTATGTGTTATATAATGAATATCCTGAAGCCCATCGATCCAAGTTTATATTAGACACAGAGTCTGGTTGAATAACAACTTCTAGTTATTCAGTCCAACTAGACCACTTAATAAGTCTAGTCAACTTGCACCACTTAATTAAGGCCCTAATATATAATATACAATATATATTATTAGGGAAAATCTTATATTCTCCCACTTAGTGCAAGTACTAGCACAACCCTCGCCAAAGAACAAAACACAAGAATCATAGTGACATGTCCTCTATTTAATCAAAGTAATATCCATTATAGTCACATGCATTTTAATTCTCCAACTTAGGTCCTTCATGAACAAACCCAACATTTATTCTTGGTACCTTAAGGGATGTTTCTCAAAATATATTATGTGCACAACTGAAATAAGAAACCATCCAAATTCACTATATGATCTCTGAAACCTTAGAAGCAGGCCTTAAGTAGAGATCTCTTAATGTCAGCATAATGCTAACTATATTTTATGACTTCTTAATAACATAAGTACTACCTCGAACAACTAAGAGCATGGAGTTGACACGTCTGTCGCTCCCACTCATCAAAATAGCCAAAAGATAGTCAAGTCATAGAAGCATTCCAATAACTTAGACAATAAACCAAAGATATAAGTCCATAAATTTGGAATCTTAATCATACACCATAACTTCTCAAATAACTTCAATGTCCACTTTAAACGAACTGAACATAATGAGTCTTACTTATATGTCTCACAAAATCGTCTTAAGCCTTACAAACCAAAATGGCCCAGGATCAATTTTAAAGAAACTAAAGACCCTATTAATCACTAAAGAATTTATTAAATGACAATGCACCACAAGTTAAATGCTTTTGTTCTAATAAATTCCTTAATATTGTTGCAACATTTTCATAAATATGTTGCACAACCAAATGTTCAATAATTTGAATTTATGAATTTATATGAACAAATACAAGATTAATACTTGTGGAATATTTTGGACTTATTGTTTGACATACAATCCAATTTAGGATGTATGAAGCAAATTAAATCCATAAACTTTAGTGGAGTTTCTTAATGATCCTTTTCTAAATGATCACTCCCACTTATTAAAATATTCTTTAGCGAAACTTAATAAAATGAATATACTTACTTATAATTGATTTGACCAACTAATAAATGAAGATATAATTCCCCACCATTAGTTGGACATACTAAATAATCAATTTTTTGTTCTAATTAAAGTCCAACTTAAATAATGAAGATATAATTCCCCATCATAGTTGGACATACTAAAAAAAAAAAAAAAATACACCTCTCAAAACCAAGTTAGAATTTGGCTCAAAAGATACACTTTATTATTAATGGAATTCAAAAGAGGTATGTCAAATCACGTAACTTACTACAGTTAGTCCAAAGAACCGAGCAAGCTTCGTGGATCGATTAATAAAAGTGACTATCTAAATTTTGGAAAGTGACTGAATACATGTTTTGCCAATGCAAACCATAAAACTTAGAATTATAATTGAACTAAATTTTTAAATTCTAAGAATAATTGTGATAAAGAGTTAATTCCGGCAATGGTCCTCCGACTATTACGATTTTCCAAAATTAGTCCTCGACTTTTAATTTGGACGAAAAAGACACTTGACTTTCGAATTTGTTCCGGTAATAGTCCTCTGTTATCTATCTGTTTCTTAGGCGTTAGTTTTGAGGGCAAAATGGTATTTTCATTAGCTTGCTTTCTTCAACCTGCATTTTCATCGTTTCCTCTAAGTTCATTGAGCATAGATTACCAACTTCCAGATCTTTGCTCCAATAGATCGTTTAACTTTGCTGTCATCGATGCTATGTGATCTCTTCCCAAGTGGTACTGGTATGGTATAATGCCAGTAGACAAGAAAATACAGAAAGAATGTTACTGTACATATATAAAACATCTTACAACATATGAAGACTTTTCAATCAAAATGCAATGCACCATTTCATGGAAAACAGACACTTTATGCAACATAACATCCAAATCCAAATTAAAGTAATGGGTGCATCATCCACTCGGCAAAGCTCCTAGCTATAGAACCTGAACACTATGACCTCAACGACGACTAACCATGGGAACAGAAACTATGACGAGGAGGAGTGTCGTGATATTTCAATGGCTGGTGTACGACCACATTACACCCTTCGTCGGACTGGCCAAGAATCTTGCAGACAGAGGTTTCTTGGTCCATTTATGTTCGACCCCGGATCAGAAACAACATTTCTCAATCCTATTCCCAATACATTCGATTACTGGAACTCCATCTTCCAGAATCGTCGGATCTTCCTCCTCAGTACCCGACCACCAATGGCCTCCCGCTCCACCTCCACGACGCCCTCAAAAAGGTCCTGAAAATGGCGGAACCTGATTTCACCGCCAGCTCCGCCATGTGCTCGTACTTCACGCACATGTTGACTAATCCCGGTGCCGAGTATCCCTTCCCGGCTCTCCGTCTCCGGCGATACGAACAAACGAGAACTTGCGAGCTCATGAATCAGGGGACCCTCAGCGACATGATCGAGGCTTCCGGCGGGATGCCGAAGTTAATGGCGGCATGTTACACTTTTCAGCTTCTCAACGGTATCTATTGCATGCACTGTCGAATCTTCCACTGCGACTTGAAGCCTGGCAACGTTCTCGTCTTCCCCGGAAAGTACACCCGCGGGTACCGCCTCAATCTCTGCGACCTCGGACTCGCCATGTTTCCCGCTGAGGAGAATCGCCGTAAAGGAGACTGTTTACGGCACCGCCGTAAAGGAGAATCGCCATGGCTCCGATGATCGAATTGAATCTGCTTGGTCGGTAAGTTTTCTGCTGCAATTATTTGGATGAACTACGCATTTAGCTTTCCATTGCCATAGATTTGCAGCATTGCTACTCGTGGATCTACTCAATTTGTTGATATATAGAATTGTTTGTGTGGCTTGCTTCGAATGGCTCCGGTTGTCTGTGTTTTTTCAGTTTCTCCTATCCGTACATTCTTAAAATTCGTGTTCTGAGAAGGAGGCACAACCACATTGGGGTTTAAGCACGGTTTGTGCTTCTGTTTGGATATGTGGTTGAGTTTTATAATCTTTTTTTAAAAAGAAAAAAGAAATGAGGAAGAAGAAAGAAGCTAATGAAATGACTATTTTAACCCCTACACTAACACCTAACTAACTGAAAGTTGACAGAAGGACTAATGCTGGAACAAATTTGATAGTCAAGGGTCTATTTTGTCCAAATTAAAAGACGAGGACTAATTTTGGAAAATCGCAATAGTCAGAGGACCATTGCTGGAATTAACTCTTGTGATAAAATTATTGTTAAATCACGTAACTTACTACAGTTAGTCCAAAGAACCGAGCAAGCTTCGTGGATCGATTAATAAAAGTGACTATCTAAATTTTGGGAAGTGACTGAATACATGTTTTTCCAATGCAAACCATAAAACTTAGAATTATAATTGAACTAAATTTTTAAATTCTAAGAATTGTGATAAAATTATTATCTAATGGGTTGATGGATTTATTGACATAAAACTTGCCTGTGGACTAAAGTTTTAATTCTATTAAATCCAATTAAACCCTTATGATAATATTTATCACAATTACTAAATAGACAGAAGAATCGAATGACATAAAACTTGTCTGTGGGCTAAAGTTTTACACAATTAGATCCTACTGAAAAATTTATTTATGATGAAACAATTATCAAATGAGTTGAAGAATCAAGTGACATAAAACTAGCTTGCTTGTGGGCTAAACTTTTATTCAATAAGATTCATTACAACCATTATGATAAAACTTAAGAAATCATGTGCCTTTTCTTAATCCCTGTGGGCAAATTAAGAAATAGAGAAAATTACACTTTTAGTCCTGTGACTATTGTGGTCTTGTTAATTTGAGTACTTGACATTAAAAACTATCAATTTAGTCCCGTAAATATATAATTTTTAACACATTTAGTCCTTCCAACCAAATCGCCGGTCAAATGTCGCCGGAATCTTTTAATCCATTTTTTTTTAATTCGGGGGCAAATCAGTCATTTCCTTCATCTTCCTTCATCTTCATCCTTCTTCTCCTTGTCTGCGTATCGAAAACACGGGTCTATGAATGGAAGGCCAGAATGGTTCTTCATTTCCTTCTTCATCTTTTATTACTCCTTTAGTTCACACTGGATTCGAAAGCTCAAACCATAATTGCTGATTGGTACCCAACCAAAGAATTCATTACACGCATTCAACACACCAAACCATCATATGATAATGTCAAAAGGACATAATTTGTTTAGATGGAGATTAAAATAGTAAAGTTGACAACAGACTAATATCACATCTTAGCGAGGCAGGCAGTGTAGTCCCACAAACTATAAACATTTCTCAAGAATAAAGCGCACACCGTTGTGGCTTCGTCGGAGTTTTTTGCGATGGGGAAAAGGTGGTCGTGTTGAATCTCAGGGATGGTCACCGGGATTGACTAGAAGGATTGATCCGGCGATTGGGAAACTTTCTGGGTTGGCTAAGTTTAGAGTTATTGTGGGGAGGATAACCGGTGCATTGCCAGAAAGCTTGTCGGAGTTGCAGAACCTCAGGTTTCTTGGAATCAGCCGGAACTTTCTCTCGGGCGGGATTCCGTCGGGGAAAGCCTTCTTCTTCGCGAATGCATTCTGGAATCTGGCTTTTAGCACTCTCCCGGCCTCCCTCCGTCGCCGCTGCCGCCGCCCAAGAAGAATTACTGCAATGACCCCTTTCTCTCTGCTTCTTGCTGCCCATGCTTAGCGCTATGAGACCCATTATTTGAGCTTTGCAGCTTTGGATCAGAAACACGGGTTTGTGAATGGAAGACCAGATTTCTTCCTCCTCCTCTTTCCTCGTTGCCTTCTTCTTTGCGTAAAACTTGATGCAATGATGAGGAGGGATTGAGGGAAGCAGAAAACAAGAACAAATAACTTTCTCCTTTTTTTATAGCTTACAATGACCATTTTATCCCCATAAATAAACTATTTTAAAATAATTACGTTTTTCCAGCAACATTTGGCTGGTGATTTAGCCGAGAGGACCAAATGTGTTAAATATTGCATAGTTATAGGACTAAATTGTTAGTTTTTAAAAATTAAGTACTCAAATTAACAAGACCACAATAGTCACAAGACCAAAAGCGTAATTTTCTCTTAGGAAATATGATCTAAAGTTTACATCATAAAATTAAACTTTATGATAGAATTAGAAATCATTATTTACAAATAAATTGATCTATTTCTATCATCACTGATAAAACTACTAAACTACATTCCAATACATAATTGCTTGTGGGCTAAATTATGACCATAGTCCAGTATTTCATCCTGATTAATTATACAAATATAACGAAATTGCCTGTGGGCTAAATTCCATCATATTACATACAATTAATCACAAATAATATGTCCAAAACTTTATGTGATCAAAATAAACCGCTTAATATATAATTTTTACATGATTAAGGATGTTGTGCCTACTCCAAAACCAAATTAAAATTATAAGATCACTAGACAATTATCAATTCCTTGCCTAACCTATATAATTTAAACTGATTAAGGATGTTGTGGCTACTCCCTAACCAAAATTAAAATTATAAGATCATAACTTAATAATCTTAGGTAGTTGAATATGCTGTAGATATTCCTTAATTAACCAAGATTTAAAAACTTAAGAGACTTCAGTAAATTTAAGATGCTATGGCTATTCTTTAATGAACCGAAACCAAACCACGTTGGCAAGGAATACTTAAAAAAAATTGGCAAACAAATTATACTAAATTGTGATGGGAAAATCTAAATATACTCCAAGAAAATGTGGATAACTTAATGTATAGCTGTTTGGGGGTATGAACCGAAAAACAAAAAAAAAAACTGTAGGATATAATCCAAAAACTGTATGGTTCACCTATGATTAAAGCTTAAATTGGTGAACTAAATTAACGGACTAAACGTGCTTAAATTCAGGCACTACCGCAACTAAAGTTTATGCATAAGTCCAACTTAATAAGGAACTAATATAATTCCATCCAAAAGTCGGAATTGCTAAAGGCATAATAAAATTGCATAATTTAAAATGAAATATTATGCTTAGGACAAGTATGCATAAAATTAAACATTAAATTCATATATTTCAAATAAAATGCATAACTTAAAACAATTTAAATATGATATTTAGTTTCCACCAAAAAATATGATATTTATTTCAAACTATAAAATTTAAGAGTGAATTCCATTTTTGGTCCTACTGTTATAGGGGCATTTCCAATTTTAGTCCACCTTAATTTTTTTTGTCACTTTATAACCACTATTATTGAATGTGTTCCACTTTTTGTCCCACCGTTAGTATTTCCATCAAGAGGTCGTGTAATTTAGGGGTATTTTGACCTTTCTTCTCATCCAAAACTATGTTTGACTAAAGAAATGAGAACATTAAACCTAAAACCTAAGAAACCTCGTCGGCCCATGTTGGAACGATCGAAATGATGTTGCTTTGGCTTCCCATTCTCGTTGTTCGAAGAGCCATATTCGAATATCGGAGGAGGAGGACGAAGCGCCTGGATTAAAAGAGAAGAGACAAACATAAAAAGACCAAAATACCCTTGGATTATACGGCCTCTTGATGGAAATATTAACGGTGGACTAAAAGTGGAACACATTCAATAACAGTGGTTGTAAAGTGGCAAAAAAAATTAAGGTGAACTAAAATTGGAAACACCCCTATAACAGTAGCACCAAAAATGGAATTCACTCAAAATTTAATATTCAAAGTACTAATATGAGCCCAAACCAAAAAGACCCAACATTGAATAATGAAATAATGGATAAATATTTTGAAAGATTCAGACTGTAAGCCTATAACAAAATATTTTAATGCATAAAATCAAACTTGTGAGAAATAGATTGAATTTACAAATTCAAACAATATCAAGCCAAAAGTATAATTGTCATTTGTAAATTAAAGTCTCACAAATCTTAATTGCATAATTAAACTTAATATTATGCACTTAATGTGATTGAATGCATAAAACTATCTAAAGAGTATAAACCAACTAAAGAGCATGGATTTATAACAAATATTCAATCATTCATACTTAACTAAATATGGGCAATAAGAACTAAATCATAATTCAAAGAACTAAATGAATTATGGAATTAATGGCAATAGTCAATTGTCTAGAAAATATGTTTTTTCCAAAAAATTGATTTGAAATCACTCTTCATAACCCAGTTAATAATAATAATAATAATAATAATAATAATAATAATAATAATAATAATAATAATAATAATAATAATAATAATAATAATAATAATAATAATAATAATATTAATGGCAAAGTTGCAAATAATCAAAATATCAATAAATAGCCATAATAATATTATCACATTAAGTAGGAGACTAAATATGGAAAAATAATGGTAAAACCGCTAACATCTATAAACATTTTCGGATATAATTTTGAGAACTTAATAAAATTTGAAGTCCGATAAAAACATTAATGCCAAGAAAAATATTTTCTTGACTGAAATATTGTCACATAAATTTATTTTGAAACAGTTCAAGATACAGAACTAAATACCATAACAATTTTAATGTCATCATTAATTAATTATTAATAGTAATAAGTAACATTATAATCACTATTAACATTAATAATAACAACAAATCAAAGTATGGTGATGTACATTTTAATGTCTCTATTTTTCTAAATATAAAATATGTGACTAGTCCAAATTAGCGGTTAACTGTAACTATAGCATTAATTATCAATAATAACCATAAAAGATAATTAATGACTTACCGTAATGATGCAAACTGCATCTGCCCATTGCGCTAACAACGATGATGATCCACATGAGAAGAAAAAAAAAAAAACCAGAATTCTCCCCATCTTCACTGTCGGTGTTAATAAACTCGATGCAGCGTCCAATGGCACGTTTGGTAGGACTTAATTACAAACATTAATAGTTATGTAAAATGAAGTAGGTAATCATGCCAATGTACCAAATATAACATATTATCATTAAATAATTATTATTATGAAAAGTAATAAAATGAGATTAGCCCTTAAACTTAACAACAATAATTAATAATGTCAATTAATAATAATTGTGTAATACCCACTATCTTAGAAATAAAAGTATACCTATGTTATTAAAATAGGTCAACAAGTCAAAGGTTATTAAAATTGATATTGGATGAATTTACTAAATTACCCCTCTTTATCCTTAAAGCTTAAGGAATCCCTTTTATCTTGGAAGACTATCTCATTTGAAAGAAGAAAAAGAGAATATTGGCTAGAGAGATAGAGGAAGGGAAAAACCTTGAAGCTTTGATCTCCATCATCTTCAAGCTTAGATCTCAAAGCTATTGGAATATTCTAGGTGAGTTTGACTTTCATATTTCACTCTTTGAGTTGGGTTTATCATTTGAGCCCTAAGATTGATGTTTGAAAATATTAGGGATTTTTGACAAGGAGTATTTGGCGAGCTAAATAGCTAAGATTTGGATGTTTTAGGTAAGTGATTAACTCTTCTCTCCTTATTTTGCAAAACCCATAACTTATTATGGAATAATCTCTACTACTTGAATGTCCATTTAAGGGTTAGTATGAATTAAAAATATTTTGGACTATGATATGTTTTGGATCTGAAATGCTAAGCTGAAGTTTGTAAGTGTTTGTCTCCCGAAATCATTTTTGCCCTATCTATAAATTAAACTTGTGTTTTGGGGTTTTATATTGAAGTTTTGAATTGGGTTTTTGGACTGGAAATATCTGCCAGAACTGTGTTTCATAATTCTGTTTTTGCCCTGGAAATGTTGAGTATTGGACTGAAACTGTTTCTGGTTTGTGAGAGTTGTGTTTTTTTGGACTGGAGATGTTCTCTTATAGATTCTAGACTGATATTAGCACCATGTGCAAAGATGTTGGAGTGGTTTAGTTGTTGCTGTTGTGCTGGTGGGATGTCGTGTGTTCAATTGCCATTGCTAACACCTTGTGTACTTGTTTTACATGTATATTATATGTTTATAAAATGGGTTACTTGTTTAAAGTGAGATTTTAACTCTTACCTAGTGGTCTAGATTTTAACTAGAGCTCCTCTTCCACACCAACTTCTTACACAAACCAAAACACAACAAAGACCCTAACTTTAGGAAAAGACACCTAAAAGAAGGTTAAAAACACCAAAAAGCTAAGGATCTGACCCTTTCCTATGCTCAAGAAGGAGAAAGTAGGAATCTTGCAAAGCTTGGATGCTCAATTTCTTGTTTGGAGAAGAAGC